AATGGAAAGAAATGAAAGATAGAGAATACAGTGTTAAAAAAAGGAGAAGGGAGACAGCTGAAGTCAATACATAAGTGAGAGCTACATGTGGCTTAGAACCAAGTCACCCCAGAATGTCACATGTCAATAGAGCTGTCAAAGTTGGGAAACACAACCTGCTGTTGGGTGTGTGTATGTGTCACATATTTTTAAGATGGAATGACCCCCTAAATGTTTCCTGCATGGTGTGGTGAATTTAGTGCACACTAGTACAGAAGGGCCTCAGTTAAATGGGAAGGGGTTAGCCAGGGACAGCTGGCTTTTGCAGGTCAGGAGAGAGACTGGCAGAGACAACTGCATGGCAGGTGCAGCAGGGAGGGGGTGGGCACGTAAGACTGAAGGTGAAATACACTAGTGTGTTCAGAGATGACAAACAGGCTGCCTTGGCCATGAGAAACAGCATGCTTGGTGAAATCGCTTCAGAGCTGGAACTGAGTTTGAACCCTCTCCTCCTCCAGCACTGACTAGCTGTGTAATTTTGGACAAGTGACTTAGACTTTTTGAGCCTTGGTTTCCTTATCTGTAAAGACAAAACTTATGTCCTGGCTGTTGAGAGTATGAAATACAGTAATACCTTGCTTTGCGAGCATAATTCGTTCCGGAAACAAACTACTCGTATTGCAAGATATCGCTTGATTACATTAAAATGTATTCGAAATGTTTGCTCGTCTTGCAGAACACTCTCAAACCAAGTTACTCGCCATCCAAGGTTTTACTGTATGCAGTAAGTGCTTAATAACTGTCTCTTCTTCCTCTTGTTCCTCTTGGTTGGTAAAGAGGGATTTGTTAGGGTGGAAAAACACATGCCAGACACTACATCTGGATGTCTTCCCCACATTATCTTTTTACTTTACAAAAACCCTCCAGGAGATGCTTTATTTATCCCATTTCACATAGGAGGTGACAGAGATTCGGGAAGGCAATTTAACTTGCTCTCGGTCACAGAGCTGGTTTGCAGCCGATGAGGAAGAAGCGAAGCAAGTCTGTCAAACTACAAGGGCCATGGATGTTCCACTGTATCTGGCAGCTGCCTAGGCAACAAGTGATGAGATTGAAAAGATATCAGTGGGAGGAATCCTCACAAGACAGGTCAAGAGTTAGCAGCTAGCAGCCAGTGCATACATCCATCCACGTTCTCATCTACTTGGTATGTTTTATGGAATTCTGGATAAAGCTGGTGCTATTTTCAACCAGACCCACTCTCCACTTCTGGTTATTCATGTGAGAAATGAATGAAGCTCAAAACCACCACATCCCTGCCCCAGTTTCCTCACCTATAAGGTGAAGAGTTTGGATTACATGATCTCTGAAGTTACTCCTAGCTCTAAAATGCGTTACAGGGTTTGGGGCAGAGACACCACACCACCATCCTCAGAGCCAGCTCTCAACTGTGAAGCCCCTTACAGTAAATATCCTCTCACCCAAAGAGTTATATAATGCTAGAATAGTATAGAAATATTCTTAAACTCTTTATTTTAAATCAAGATACATAAACGTACATTCGTTCACTTTCATTGATGGAGGTGCAATGCCTTTCTTTAAGACCAGGTCATGTGGAGAGAGAGCAGCAATGAGTTATGCAGACAGTTAACTAGCTCCACTCTACATCATCTTCATTTCCACTGTGAAGTTCCTTAATGGAAAGAAAACTTAGTGGTTGCAAATAAATCCAAATGCAGGATCTCTCTGGATTTTTGTATTTTCCCCACTTTTCTATAGTTGCTTTTCTCACACTTAATTTGACAGCAAATTTTTATTGACTCACCTCTATGGAATCTTTTTAAAGTATTCAACATAGTGTCCCTAGAAACAAGAATGATATTTTTTTTCACATTTATATTTCACCAGTTTAGTTAAGCTACAAGTCAGATTTTGTCATTCTGCTCTAGCTCCTCCAATGGCTAACCCATCTTACTGAAAGGACAAGTTAAAGTCCATGCAAGACCCCACATGTTCTGTCCCCTGCCCACCTCTCTGACCTCATCTTCTGCCACCCTGACCCTGAATCCCGTGCCCCAGCCACTCTGACCTCCACGTACTTTTTCAAAAAGCCAAGCAAGCACCCTCTTCAAACTTCACACTTGCTATACACCCTCTTCAAAATCCTCTTCCCCTGGGTATCTGGGAGCTAGCTCTTATAATCAGGTCTTTGTTCAAAGATCACCTTCTCAGTGAGGGCTTCCCTGTCATCCTATTTCAAGGAGCCATCTTTGCTCTATTCAGCCTTTTCTACCTCCCCACCTCTGTATTGTTTTTCTCTATAGCACTTACCTGACATACTATATATTTTACTCATTAGAATTTTTTTGAGTTTCATGAGGGCAAAGATTTTGCCTGTTTGTTCACTGACACATTCCTAGTGCCTAGAAGAGCAGGGGCACAGTTGTCACTCAATAAATGTTTGTTTAATAACAATATTTTTTCCTTATTTTAATTTAAACCTTTACTGTGAAATTTACCAAAAAGTTTCAAGAACTCCCCTATACACTTTATACAGATTTAACAATTTTTTTTAAAAAGCTACATATTTTATCACTGTCTATTATTTTTTGAACCATTTAAGAGTAAGTGGCATACATCATGGCCCTTTATTCCTTTATACTTCAGTATACTTTTCCTAAGAACAAGAATATTCTATATATAATCACAGTACAGTTGTCAAATAGAGGAAATTCAATATTGCTAGAATGATTTTTTTATTGTGAAATAAACAATTTTTTTAAATTAGTTTCAGCTGTACAACACAGTGCAATAGTTATACTTTTTATCCCTCAAAGTGACAACCCCCCTCTCCCAATCTGCCACCCCACTCCCCCCCAATATCATCATACATATCTATTACAATTCCATTAACTCCACTCCCACACTATACTCCACATCCCATGACTATATATATATATATATATATATNTATATATATATATATATATATATTCAATTATAGTTGACATACAATATTATACAGCATCAGCTTCAGGTGTACAGTGCAGTGATCAAGTCTCTATCCCATTCATGAAGTGGTCTCCCTAACAAGGTATGTGACCATCTGACACCCTACAAAATATTTACAACATTATTAACTATATTTCCTGAACTGTCTTTCATATCCCTGTGGCAATATTGTAGTTACCTATTTATGCCCTCTAATTCCTTCCCCTTCTCCCTCATTCCCGCCCCCGTTCCACTAGCAACCATCAGTTTTTCCTCTAAATAACAATCTTTATTATTATAATATGTGTATTGCCTTTCTGACTAGATGGCATAACTACAACGATAATTACATCAGGCTTGGGGAGGTTTAGGAACAAAGGTAGGAGAGTCTGGTAAACAAAGAAGCCAACTAGAAGGGTCAGGAGTGTGCTGGTGCCCGAGAGCACAGCCTACTGCCTGTCCCTGAGCAGCCATGAGACTGGACATCAGCATGGAACAAAGGGGAGAAGGCCACCTGTTAAATGCAAATGGACTACACAGCCTCTCGTTTAATTTGAACAAGTACCTCTCTTGTTCAAAGTACTTGACACTTTCATATTCAAATGTACAATGACACACAACAGTATCACATATAGAAGATAGTCCAGCCACTTTTCTTCAGATACAGGCAGAAAGACTGCTCCACCTCTTAATGGTCAATGACCTTGAACAAATCTCTTAATCACTCTCACATCCTTGGTTCTTCATTAAAAAGGGGAAGGGTATAAAACAATATGTGGCCTGTCTGTTTCATTGGTCTATTGTAAGTATCAGATAAATCAATAGCTATGAAAATATATTGAAAAATTGTGAAGCCCTCTATACAAGAAGCAATCCTCTTTGTATTATTAACATGGATAACTGACTTGTTTATAATAGCTACTAGAGTTCCCAAAACTGATGATTTATTTTATAGTACATTGATTTTAAAATGAATTTTAAAATGTATTAAAGACTACACAGAAGGAAAAGTAGGCTTTTAAAGGCACAGAATAAGAAAGAGAGGGGAAATGGCTTTCTCTTGATTCTTTAATAGAAAAACATACAGAAGAAAAAACCCACAAATCTCCAGTGCAGTAACAATATTACATAAAGTTCAGACTCAAGAATATTACTGTGAATATCCACATGATCTAGACTCTTGGATATTTCAGATATTTCCCATCCATTTCAACACCACAAAGATAATCCAAGATGACTTCTTAATATCACACATGTCAATAGCAAGTTGCAATGTAAATGAGCAAACCCTTTCCAACCATCTCAGTGTTGTTTTTATTACAGCATTTATTAAACCAGAATAAAAAAAGTGGTGAAGAATGACTTGTCGCACCATTTATTAGAGTTGATGGACCATAGATAGTTTTTTCAATAAGGCTTTAACACACTGTTATGCACCGTAGTACATTATTAATGAAAAAAAATGCAGAAGACTTGCCTCAGCTTTTCCCCCAAGTCATCCCGACTGTAAATTCAAAATCGATTCTACTCTACATGGCAAAGCTTCAGAGATAAAAATGTTAATTTGTTTGTTGTTTACCAAATCTTAAATCCATGAATTCAAAGCAATAATCAGGAATCCTCCATATTGTACTCAATTTAATAATCATACTTTTTTGGAGGGGATTCAAAGGAAGAAGCAAATGCAACAGGAAGATAAACAAATTGTGCCCCACTTCATATCTGACAAGAGAATGGGATCTAATTTTCTCTCTGATTGAAAGCACACAAAGGACAGCCATGGAATGCAAATTATGCATTAGGTGTTTGAACTTTTCTTCCAATATCTGAGTATCTGAATGGAACTAATTCACTCTGGAAAAAAGTATTAAGTAATTGAGCACGATTATGCCAGGATGAGGGATAATCCTCAAACTGTGAAGGAAAATAAACATATTTTACAATGTCAGGGTCACCTTACTCACTCAGTAACCTCAATCAAGCATTTTACATTCAAAAGAAATAAACCCAAAATATTAAAAATGACCTACCGCCAACAAGGAACCCTGATAGACACAAGCACCTGTGGGGAAAAACAAAACAAGAATTAAAAGGGATGCATAAATAAACCAAAACGCGCTGTCCGAGCACATTTAGGTGAAAACTGCCTCTAATGCATCGTAATCGGGAAACCGAGCTTTTTCTAAAATATTAGAGGCTGGAGCATTTTGCCCCCTGGGAAATAACCCCACACACCAAAACAAAAGTTCTGGGACACACGTGAGGTAAAGCATCATTAAAACTTACTATTTGAGTTTTAAAATAAATGTATTTATAAAGCATGCTATAAATACAGTGTCTATTTTTATTTGTGATAAATCAGCAAAGCCTCCATAATCCAGTCCCAATGTACTTAACCAGGCTTCTCTGCAACTCTCTGCTTATGCAGAGTCTCTAGTCCAACTCAAGAAGCCAACTTAGGATCCTGTGATAATACCTCCATAATCTCAATGCCTTTGCTCATTTTCATTTCCTGCAGGAGATACATTTGGTCTATTCAAGTTCATTGAACGTGATCTCATCTCCTTCATGAAGCTTTCCGGCCCACAGAATTATGCTCAGTCTCCTTTGAGTTCATAGCACTTTGTGCCTACATCATCTGTATATGAATTCATTCTTGTATACTTCTTTGTGGCAGCCTTGCTAAGGCTGTGGAACTGTTGCATCTACCCCACTACCTGTGTCTATATTCTTAGGATGGAGATTGCTTCTACTGTTTTCCCTAACTTTTCACATAGTAGACATCCACTCAGGTACCTGGTTGATTATCTATTTCATGCCTTTAACATAATATGTTCCTCTTGAGGGATATCAAAACATTTTATAGGAGAGTGGTGTAGACTATAGTTAGTTGAACCTGACCTCCAAGATTCCTTTCACCCTCTTTGCATTCATTTTTTTTTCTAATGGGCTGGTTATAAACAGACACATCATTATATTTCCTCCTCATTATGTACCAAATAAAAAGCAACAAATGATTTGCTTCTAAATGGAAAAGAAGGCTGAATTTGAATGGGATAGCCTGTATATTCTGAATAACCAGTGTATCATAAAATAAGTCTTTTCTAAGTTTTATATTTGAAAACAATATGAAATTACTATGCTAATTTTTAAAAAAATTTACACATTCTCAACCAGTTCTGAACAGCACAACAGGTGATTTAACCTGGAAACATGTGGATAGTGTGCTAACAGCTACTCTCTCAAAACTGAGGCTGCAAAACTGACTGGAATAGCAGAAGCACATCTTGACAATGTGCCACACTTGGTGTCCAAAGGGAGAAGGACACATTTTCCTACAGTGCGTGGCCTCTAACAGGTCATTCATGAAGTCTCAAAAATATTAACTTCTCAGAAAAGGCCTGGCCTACCTTATCCACCAATGACGGAATTAAGAACAATCTTCAAAGAAAATGAGACAGCTATTTATACTTGGGGCTTGAATCAAAGATCTCTGTGGGCAAATTTATTGAAATGACTTTTGTGCCCTTGAAATTCAAATAAGAATAACTTGAGATAAAAACCTTGGGAAGGAATTCTTCTTAACTGTCTTATTTTCCTTTAAGAAAGAAATTCTTTTCCCAAGGTTTAGTATTTCAGTCTATGGTATGTCACAAAAAAGAAGAGATTATATATATACATATATATATATATTTATTTATTTATTTATTTATTTATTTATTTATATGATATATATGCTATATATTTATATGATATATATGCATATGTATATATAAATAATCATTTATAGCTCAAATGAATACATATGAACACAATTCATTTCTAAATTAAATGGACATATTTAATTAATTCTGATGTTTAAAAAATAAACATAAAGATCACTTAGGTACAAGCTAATGAAATTTAACCTGTAGAATAAACAAACAAAATTTAACCTTTAGAATAAGACCATCCTCAAATAATTTTATTGCCCTCCTCCATACCACTACCTTCCAAAAGCCAGTATCTTTTCAAAGCTCCAAAAGAGATCAAGTATCTTAAGAAGTGACCAAGTACCCATATCAAAAACCATTTCTGGAAGTTTTAGATGGACATTATAAACCCACTGAAACATAAAAATATAAAGCAGCATTGAGTGTGGCACCACACTTGGTTAAGCCAAATATATGCTAGACACAAGTCAAAATGATGTGTAACTATTAGTAAATTCCATCATTAGGAAATGGAAATAGCTCAATTTGGGTCACTTGATGATGTACAGTTCCAAAAGAAATAAACCTTGCCTTCTGAGGGCTTTCCTAAAACAGAACAGCTCTACCCGGAAGGCAGCTGCAGAAATGAGACTCCATTAACACAGCTTCCAAAACCTCATTTCTACTCTCTAGAGAAAATAAAGCATTCCAATGATGCCCAGTCCTATCAAACATTTATCACCACCATGGCCAGATGCAGTCCTCCAAGCAAGTATGTTTCTCCCACCTTAGCCCATGCTCCACAGCCACCAGTAGATAATGTCAGGGGTTTGCTGGTGTTGGGTACTGGGGCAGCTCCAGGCTCTGCCCGAGGGCAGAGGCCTTCTCACTAATCCATCAACTCATAATATGGAAAACAAAGTCAATCACTGCACTCATCACTTCTTTTCTTAAGGAGTACTGAAATGACTGCAGCTCTATCTGAAGTTTAGATTTATGACTTTATTTGTACTTCAAAGGAAACTCCTCAAGGTGAATTGTGACAGATGGTGCACATCTAGAAGGAGAATCAGGCCCTCTTCAAGGGGAAACAGGAAAAATAAGACAACAAGAGCTAGAGTTCTCTGACCATGAACTTTGCCAGTTTCAGGGTACCAAATACAGCTGAGATGCTGGGTAATTTCAGTTCTAACACCCTGTGAGAAAGTTCATGAAGTTTTGCAGTGTGACATGATCGAATGCAGCGCCAAGAAGGGAGCTGAGATCCTGAGACCTTCCTCCCACGCAGTTGGCTCCTTTCTTGCAGGTCTTATAGGCAAAAATGTTACTTCATATTTATGTAAATACGTAAATGTCTTTTTTTAAGCCCTTTCGCACATTATAATGTACTCCTTCATGAGATGACTATATAAAACCTAAAGTTATCAGAGACAATATGAGATATAATTTGCACCAGTACTCACACCCTGCAACTATTCACGATAGACACTATACCTGGTAAACTGAGTAAATTAGAGAAGTTAAATCCAAGGGCCACAAAATGTCAGACCCATTAGTTCAAAGAAATCTTGGCAGATATGACCATAAGATGTGAAGAGATTTGGAAAGCACGGTATCACAAAAACATGATTCATTAGGAGCAAGCAGCCAGCCACAAGCTGGCATTGAAGTGTTCGAGCTTTATGTTGTGTTGTAATTCAGCATATGGCTTGTACACCATGGAATAGTTAAAATAGAACCATTTTCTGGAGTGACAGGACAGCTCACATCCTGATTATTATCAAGCAGGACTCAGATCAATTAATAAAGTAGTTCAAATGAAAATGGGCCAAATGTTTTTTGTAAGATTTGTAAGATTGTAAGATTTGGCACACAGCTCCAACTTTACCATGTCAAAGGGCCCTCCCCTCTCCTGAGCCATGTGGTGGAGTATTTTATGACTACTTGTGCCTGCGTAAAATTGAGTGATATTGCCACTCAAGTCCATAACAGTGAGTACAGGTGGCTGTGCCCTCATTAAAAAATGTATATGTGGTGGGTAACACCCAGAATCCAATCCCCAGAGAAGAAATGTAATATGATTGAAATAAGAGCCTATGACAATACAATACCTCTTTATTCCCACTAGCAGGTAGTTGCCAAAACCAAAAGATGCAAAGTTGCTTTACTCAATATTGGGAAACCCACCAAGGACCAATGTTCAGATATCTTTACCTGCTAGCTGCTTTACTCATATTAACAATTTCTGGGTATTTAAACTCCTGAGGGCAGGCATTATGATATTTTTATGTCTGTATCACCCTACCAGACATTACCTGATACATAAGCTCTCAATAAGGACTTGTAGAATGAAAGAATGAAGAGATAGACTGTTTTTCCCAGCCAATGTCTTCTCTTCCCTAATGTTGAGTTTTAAGCATTGAGTCTTACACAGAAGAAACTCTCCAGCCAAGAGTAGAACTAAATAGGCTGATACATCCATTAATAAAACACTATGAAATTATCCTTTTCAGTGTATTCTGTTAATGGCATTTATAGGAAAAGCCTGGAAGACTGTGGGATTGGCTAAAGTCATAGGAGGAATAATGGGACACAAGCTGGAACTCAGTTCTCTTAACCTCCAATTCAATAAGCTTTCCCTATCCCCAAGTCAACATGTTCTATCAGTGTAAGTTCACTGGATTTCCACAGATCAACATAAGTTAAGATGTGCTTCTCCAGGAAACATCATGGCAGACAGAGCTAGTCTGAGTCAAAAAGCAGCCATATTTGCTAGAAGTTTCTCTAACATCTTGATTTTATAAAGTTCTCAAATCATAGTAGTTTGTCAGCGTGGCAATGTAAGACAATGTAAATTATCACTGCCAACAATTTGCTTGTAAAAATTCATTTTTCGCAGCTGGCCAAGTGGCTCATTGGTTAAGAGTTGGCTCGGGAACTGCGAGCTCTGAGCAGCAGGGCCACTGGTTGGGATCCCACAGGGGCCAGTGACACTGCGCCCTCTACAGCTAAGATGGTGGACAACAGCTCGACCTGGAGCTGGGCTGCCGTGAGTTTCCCCCGATGGCCACAGCGTAGGCTGCAGTGGAGCTGCAGTAGGCTGCCGTGAGCTACTGTGAGTGGCCAGCAGCCAGCATGAGCTGCTGTAAGCCCTCACGGCTGTCCAGTGGCCAGCAACAGATCTGCCTCACCCAGGAAGAGCGCAATGATAATACCAACAAGGGCCAGTGAAGCAACGTCCTCCACAACTAGACTAAAGAACAAAAGGACAGCAACTTGTCTGTTCCCCTTCCCCGATTCCCCAACGAGGTTCCCTCCCCCAGTTCCCCAATAAAATCTTTTAAAAAATAATAATAAAATAAAATTTAAAAATTCATTTTTCTTTTAATAATTAAAATTCAATATGAGAAAGTTATAACTGGCCACAAAATAGACAGCAAATATTGATCTTTCTTTTCCTATGCTGGACGATTAACAAAAGTATTTTAGAGCTATCACCTAGCCAACTTCTGCATTTGTAAATGACAGAACCACAGCCCAAAAAAGTTAGGTGGTTCATTCAAGGTCATATAGCAATTTATCATGGAGGCCAGTCTAATCTTAATTCAAAAGAATGCGATTTGGCAATAGTCATTCACCTGACCAATATTTTTTAGCACCTACTGTATACTAGAAGCTGAGTTAGAGACATAAGAATAACTATGACACATCCTAAGCCCTCAGTGAGCACACAGCTAAGTAAGGAAGAAGGAAACTACACCTTTATCAACAATAATTGTAGAATTATTAACTGGTGACATACTCTCTGAGCACTGAGAAGAAACAATAATTACGCTATGGCCTGATCAGCAAAAGTGTCACAGAGTATGTCACACCAAGAGGAGCACATATGTGAATACTTCTTTTCCATTTTTAAAAATCATTGCCAAGGATAATAAGAAAAACTTGAGGAAATCTCTATACTTAAAAGCTTTCTATCCTTGATCCCAATGCTCTTATTTTTAAGAGAAAAAGAAAAGTCTGACAGACCCAAATCAAAGTCTCATCTGATGACAGCCGATTTGGAGGCTATAGAATTGATTTAACTTAATTAAATGAGATTAAGTAAATAAAGTGCTTAGCATAGTGCCAGGCAAATAATGTACTCAGTAAATGTCAATATTCATCATTCATTCATTCATTTTTAGATAAGTATAATTATGACTTGGATGAAACTCTCAGACATCTATCAACCCAATCTGTGAAATGATTCTAGAATGTTTTGAAGGTGGGATAAAACAGTAAGAAGCAAAGTTTCCAAGAAATCTTTGGAGGAATAGCTCCCCTCACGCCCGCAGGCCTCCTCCCCCATCAAAAGGCTTTGGAGTTTCTTCAACTTTGCCCAATATATTAACCAGCCTTCTAAAGAGTGAACCCTGCAGGCTCTTAATAATAATGGCTTTTGTAATTCAAGAGACTTGGTTCTGAAAAACAGCCTCGTTCCAACTGCCCCCTGGTGAGCTATTAGGGAGAGAGATCACGTTTTCCGCGTTGCTGGGATATGATTCTAAATAAGAAACAGCCACCACCAAGTGAAAACGTAATTTTGGGGGGGTCTCAAATTCAGATTTGGGTGGCCCGGGTTGACTCTAGCCATCTGGTTTATTACCATAATTAAGCTTTATAAGTTTTTGGTTTTTTTAAAGTATGCACACACACGCGCACACACAATAAAGACATGTTTCTACAGGTTATGTGCCTTGTTTGAAGGAAGGCTGCATAGGCCCCAGACGTGCTTTTCCTGGGGATAGTACACACTTGACATATTTCCCGGGAGGGTGCAAGCAGGTGGTACCTTTACCCGCTGTAAAGTCACCATTGCTTTGCGTGGACTTCCAAGGCCACGCCACTTTCTCCCCGGAAACTAGCAAGGAAAAGGCAGATGCCCCGGTGACTGGAGGTCGATCCAAGGCAGGACTTTGTCCTCCCCGGGGCCTCCCACCGTCCGGAGTCTCGGGCCCCGGGCTTTGCACCGGTGAGACGCCCCCACCTGGCACCAGGGCGGAGAAAGCGCCCCGCCCCACGCCCACTGCCTCCGAGGCTGCGGCTCTGATTTGCGGTGGGGCGGTGAACTCTTCTTCCCGCAGCTCTATGAATAATGAATAGAGCCGGGAGGGGAAACCCAGAGCCGGGTGCTGTGGATTAAGCCGTCTTGGTCCCAGCCCGCTGGCTCCCTTCCCCCTCCCCAAGCACTAACTAGGTGACTTTCCCAGCTCCTCGGAGAAGGTGGAAGGAAGCTCACCTGCCTGGCGTCCCAGGGCCCGCCATCCCATGACCCTCAAACTCTTGATTTACTCATTGATTCATTTAATTCTCTGAGTCCAGCTTGCTTTTGCTATCATGGCGACAATTCCCTCAGTCTCCTTCTTTCTCTCTCCCAACTCAGGGGTTTTCCAGTAGGTTGGAGCCCCGGAGGGAAACCTGGAGACCTGGAGGGCTAAGTAAGAGAATGAAGCAAAACTTATTAACCACTTGTTTTCCAGGGCAGGCAGGCCCGTTTCTCTCTGGACTGGGGAGATTTCTGCTAGTGCAATTGATTTGCCTAAGTCCAAAACACGCTCTAACCAACGAGTTATAAAATCTTACGGGGAGACTTATTGGGACAAGGAGTCGTGTGGGGGGGGGCGTAAGGTGCTGGATTGTATGTCTCATAGAAGCAGAGGTATTTTTACACAGGTAAGAGCAATTGCTCGCTCCGCACCTATGCTCCACGTAGTTGTTTTCCATTGGGAGCAGCGGGGAAGTGGGGGAAAAAAGAGAATCCAATTTCAGGATGCCAACTCAATCAGGCACCCACCCCGAATACACTTAGGGCAGAGAGGGAGGCGGGAGGCTCGCTTGTAATCCGAATGCAAAACAATCAGGAGTAGAAATATCAGAAAAATTCCACTCCAGTTACACTCCCACCCATCCATCCCAGAAAACTTCCACCCGAGCCACAATACCGTAACCTGCTGGGCTTTTGAAACAGTATGATATCACACACACACACACACACACACACACACACACACACACACACACACACACAAAAGGCACCGCTCTCTCACCTTCAGAATGAGGCAATACTGCAAATTCCGCCAATGCTAGGGCCACCCCGAGCCACACTTTCAAGACACCCATTGCTGCTTCAGCACCCACGCTGGAGGAGCCCAGCCTTCAGCATCCAAGAGCCGGCTCACCGCCAAAACGCTGGCTTCCGCGCCCCGAACCAGAGCGCACCGAGGGCGGGGGGGCAGCCGACGGTTACCTCCTGGGAAATAAGGCGATGGACGGACCGAGAGCGACACTCACATCTGCCCGGAGGCGCCGGGGCGGGCGAGGGATTCAATTCACCCACTGCCCAGCTGTCCAGCAAAGCAGGACGCCAACGCGTGCAGAGCTTGGGAGAATAAAAGAGGAGGCAGAGCGCCGTTCTCCGCAGCAGTCTCGCCGGAAAGTTGCGGGTCACCGGCTGATCGGATCTCCCAGCGTGTCCCTCAGGCCTGACCCATCCGCTCCAGGGTCCCCCACCGTGGAGATCTCCGCGCCGATTCGTCTGTAGCAGCTTTTGAAAGTTCGCTTGACACTCTATCTCCGCGCTGCGTCAGCAGAGGAGGTCGTCAAGAGCCGGGAAAGACCCACCCACCCCTCCTTCTTGGCCCGGCTCCTGGGCTCCGCGGACCTTGGCCGCCGGGGGCCGCTCGCAGGAAACTTTGTGCCGTGCTGCGGGCAGCTCCCGGTACTTGCCGGCGCTGCAGCCGCACGGCGCCGCCTCGGGCTGCGCTCCCTGCAGCAGACTGTTGAAAAGCTTCCGAGGAAAGACCCCGGCGGGCGGCGCGGGGGGCGCTGCTGCTACTTTCTCGCGCCCGCCCCTCGCCTGGGTGAGGAGGGCTGCGGGGGTGAGGCTTGCTCCAAGCCAACAGCCACCTCTGCACCGAACACCGTGGAGCTGGTCTGCGGGGTCGAAGTGTGATTAAGGGAGTGGAGGCGGAGCCATAATTTTAAATGCACGGAGGAAAGAGCTACAGAAGCTGGAAAGAACGCCCGAACTCAGCGCCACTCGTACCAGAGAGCCCGGAAACGCACAAAATAAGGGCCCCTCTGGATCCCCGCGTTTAAAAGACACACGCTCCGCCTTCCTCCGCCGCCCTCCCCTCCTTGGTCCCTCATTTGCTCTGCTTGAAAATGGACCCAGGGACTCGGAGCTTTGGCAAAGATTCCAGAGAGTCACGTGGGGAAGGGGAGAAGCGAGGAGCGGGTGAGGGGAAGCCGAGAGCAACCTGATCCCCTTATTCATTCTGCTAGAGTTCAGATTGCCTTTGTCTGGGACGGGATCAAAAGTGGTCACACCAGGGAGGGATGGGGTTGGGGGAAGATGGCGTGGTCTTTCCTCAGGCACAGCGAGGGCCCGTGAACCGGGTCCACGTGGTCATTTAAAGAGGGACCCATTGTGGAGTGGGTATACCCACATTCAAAGGACCTGGCGATACCCCCACCCCTCCTACCACCGCCACTCCAGCTATACTAAGTGCGTGTGGCGGACCTGATCACTCTTCCTCGCTCTGGAACCCTCCGGTCGTCTCATGGTGGGTTTAACCAGCAGCCTGGGAGGATCTTGGCATGTGTGTTCTAGTGGGGCCTCTCACCACGAATACGTCTTTGCCTTTCCCCTACGCGGTCTTGGTGTGGTAGCTCCAGCCGCGCCCCAATGCCAATGACTAGGAAATGTAAGGGTAAGGCAGACTCCCCAGGGCATACTTGAAGAGCGGAGGTCTTGATTCTCGGTCAGGACTAACTGATGGCAGCTATTTTTATAGGACCAAATAAAAATAGCTGGTCTAAAGTTAAGCATTTTATAAGATGAGAATGGCTGCATCTGAAAGATGCTGGCTGGGTTCTGCCAGCCCAGAGAAGAGACATCCCGGGTCCCCCAATTGATTTGAGATGGACCAGCCTGTTGGAGGGGAGATTGTCCAGAGAGTAGAGTTTGTCCAAGCATTGAATGCCAAGAGGTGAAACAGCAGGGGTCCCACTTGCTTCCAGCCTTCACAACCACCATTAAGCTGCAGGAGGTTCTAATCCACACTGGTGCTACTTGGACCAATTTGCTTTTCAGAATAACGCATTAAGTTGTAACTGGAAGATCCCTGTAACTATTACTGTTTAGCCAGAGCAAAGAGGGAACCTCTGACACAACCTAGCACTGATTTTGGAGTACTGGGGTTCTGCAACTCAGTCTCTCCTGGGCTGTGGGGTTCTCAGGGACAGAAACTGTTTATCACCTTTGTATCTGAAGCACATAATAGGTGCTCATTAAACATTTTTTGGGCAAAATAATAAGTCCCTGAGAGCAATGGCCATATCAAGTGGGGTTGGATGTCTTAAACACTCCTCCCCCCAAAGAAGAATCCCCTCCCCTCTTTTATCTATAAAGTTGACATTTTCTTAATCCCATGTAAACTGCTGTGAAACCTCAGCTTGGAATGCACTCTGTCAACCATGTTATCACCCAAAACCCCTTTTTATAGAAATTTTGTAGCCACCACTGACTGGGAGTAACTTAGGCAATTTGTTCTCTCAAGAATCAATTTGATTTATTTTTAAAAATCATACAATCATGGCACTCAAATTAGTCTCAATAAGATATCTGTTATTCTTGTGCTAAACGCAAATGTGCGACTTTTTAAAAAGGAAAGGAAATGAAAGAAGAGAAGGGAGGGAAAATAGCACTACCAAGTTACCCTGAATTCATTATATGCCGTATTTATATATAACATTTCCCCCTCCACCACCAGCCCAGCACAGGGCATACTCACACCATCCTCTCTCTATCCCAAATAGGTAGAGAGCTGGTAGCCCCAGAGTCCCTGTCCCAAGATCCTTAGATGATCAAATGGTTGAAAGGGTCAATCAATAATTCAGTTGGATTAGGCATATCTAGCACCCTTTGATGGCCACTTACATTGAGATCTTGGAAAAAGAATTATATTATCATAACTTATTTCATTATGATGGAAGTTTAGTAAGCATTTGTATGGATATGTAATGACTCATAACTAGCTTATTCCTAATAAGCTGTTACTTATGAATGCTTCAAAAACCAATGCTTCCACTGACAGGGAGTTGGCAGCTCACTAGCCACAAATAATTTGGTCTATATCTTCAGTGTTTTTCATTCCCATGTCTGGATTCCACAACTTCTGTTATACGTCCCACAGTATCTCCTTGGCTTGGCCTTGCTGTCTTCCATTGACATTTCCCTGACCTTGTTGCTGCCCGTTTTGAGAAATTGACTCATTAATTACTGCTGTAAATGATACGAATAACAATAATAACAGCTAACACATACTGAATACTTAGTGCCTAACACTGTACAGTTTTCCATTCAATCCTCCAATAACTTTGTGAGAGGTGCTGTTATTATTTCCATTTACAGGAGAGATAATTGATGTTCAAAGAGTTAGTCAATCTGTCCAAAATCAGACAGCTAATAAATGACAAAGCATATTAGAGCAAGCAACTCTACCTGTAATAACAGGCAAACCCCCAAAGTGCAGTGTCCTAAAACAAAAGTTTATTTCTCAGTCACATTCTGGCCCCTGGCCACTGGGATCTCCTGCACATTGGCTCCTGGACATTGATGATTTCTTGTTGTTAGGTCACTGTGGAACACATGGCATGTACTGCCTCTGCAACAGGGCAAGAGACCAATAAAGGAGGCACTGCAATCCCTAAAGGTCTGAGCCCTACTTCTCAGAGTCTAGGGGCAAGAATGAGTCACGCGGCCTGAACCTAACTGCAAGGGAGCCTGGGGTCCACAGAGGAACACATGGATATTTACTGAGCACTAACTATACTGCTTTACTCCAGAGCAGGTGCTCTTGACTCTCTCAACCATCCTTAGCTACACTACCTTGCCTCTCAACAAAGACTCAGGTTGAACCTGAACTTCGTTGCAACTGCTGCTTCTCCAAATTGTCTTTACTCCACTTTCCTGCTCTTCCACTTGGCTTGCCTTTCCCTTTCTCCCTCCCCTCCGCCTTTCCTCTACTTCTCACGGTCTTCTTTCTATACAGCCCCACTCTATGCTTTGGACCGTCTATAATATCTTTCTCCTATATGGGCTATCTCTGATCTCCTTTCACCCGCCCTGAGAGTATTGCTGCAGTGTGAGTGCATTTGTTCTGGTTTGTCCTTTTCAGCATGTGACAATATTTGTTCCTTTTTACTTTCTGCTTCAAATAGTTATATCCAAAGGAATATTCAAATAATACAGAAGTGCAGACTGATGGGACTCTGCTATAATATGACCCCTCCACAAGGATACCCATAGCAAGTACATTCCAACATTTTTCTCTGCTTAACTAAATATAATTATTTTTATAAAAATAGAGTCAGAGTTTACATTTTTTTTCTCCCTGCCTTTTTTCTCCCACTGAACAATATAGCTAGGCCACAAGTTTCTAAGCCAAGGCATATTGATCCATCTCATCCTTTTAAAGTGCTGCTTGAGTTTACCCTGAATGGATATTTCTTTATATATTTAGCCAACATTTGTTTGAAGAACATTTACGTTATTTCCAATTTTTTGCTGTTATAAATAATACAGTACTAAAACATTTTTATAAAAGTTCTTTGTATTGGAAAAGAGGAAGTCAAATTGTCGTTATATGCAGATGACATTATACTATATATACAGAACCCCAAAGACTCCGCCAAAAAACTAATAGAACTGATAAATGAATTTAGTAAAGTAGCAGGATGCAAAACTAATATTTAGAAATCAGTTGCATTTGTATACACCAATAATAAACTATCAAAAGAAGAAATCAGGAAATCAATCCCATTTACAATTGCTTCAAAAACAACAAAATACCTAGGAATATATTTAACCAAAGAAGTAAAAGACCTGTACTCAGAAAATTATAAGACACTGAAGAGAGAGATCAAAGAAGACACAAATAAATGGAAACACATACCATGTTCATGGATAGGAAGAATTAATATAGTTAAAATGTCAATACTATCTAAGGCAATATATAGATTCAACGCAATTCCTATCAAACTACCAATGACATTTTTCTCTGAAATAGAACATATAATCCTAAAATTTATATGGAACCATAAAAAATCCCAAATAGCATGGCAATCTTGAGAAATAAGAACAAAGTGGGAGGTATCGACTACCCAACATCAAATTATACTACAAGCCTATAGTTATCATAACAGTATGGTACTGGCATAAAAACAGACACATAGATCGATGGAACAGAAGAGAGAGCCCAGAAATAAATCTATTCATATATGGTCATTTAATCTATGATAATGGAAGCAAGAATTTACATTGGGGTAAAGACAGTCTATTTAATAAATGGTGCTGGGGAAACTGGACTGACACATGCAAACGAATGAAACTGGATCACCTTCTTAAGCCATATCTGAGAACAAATTCAAAATGGATTAAAGACTTAAATGTAAGACCAGGAACCATAAAACTCCTGGAAGAAAATATAGGGATTAAATTTACAGACATTACCCTGAGTAATATTTTTACTGATATATTCCCTTGAGCAAGGGAACTAAAAGAAAAAATAAACATGTGGGATTACATCAAAACTAAAAGCTTTTTCACAGCAAAGGAAACCATCAGTAAAACAAAAAGACAGCCTACTGAATGGGAGAAGATATTTGACAATGACACATCTGATAAGAGGTTAATATCCAAAATTTATAATTCACCTCAATGCCAAAAAAACCACCCAATTAAAAAATGTGCAGAGGACATGAAGAGACATTTCTCTAAAGAAGACATACAGATGGCCAACAGACATGAAAAAATGCTCAACCTCACTATCATTAGAGAAATGCAAATAAGAACCACAATGTGATACCATCTCACTCCAGTCAGAATGGCTATCATCAGTAAATCAATAAACAAGTGCTGGTGAGGTTATGGAGAAAAGGGAACCCTAGTGCACTGTTGGTGGGACTGCAGATTGGTGCAGCCACTATGGAAATCAGTGTGAAGGTATCTCAAAGAACTAGAAATG